GTGATGGTGGTGATGGTGGTGATGGTGACAATGGTGGCCATTACATGTATGGGGTAACAATGGTGACAATAGATAATGGAGTTGTCTGTGGGTGACGGAGTGTTAGTGAGGGTGGCTACAGGGATCTCAGTGTGGGGGTCACAGGGACAAGAGTGACCCTGGGATATGGTATGGTGGCAGGACTGTGCCAGAACTTTCCGGAGCGGCTCCTCTTGGTTGGGTTTGGCTTTCTCGTGGGGGGAGGAGGGCTGGCTCTCCCTCCGCTCTTCTCCCCTCCTTGCTCGGCCCGCTCTGCCTCACCTGGCCGTGGCCCCCAGGTACGACCTGAAGGTGCTGGGCTACAACCTGATGCAGGCCATGCGCTTCGCGGTGGAGGAGATCAACAACCACAGCAGCCTGCTGCCCGGCCTGCTGCTGGGCTACGAGATAGTGGACATCTGCTACCTCTCCAACAACGTGCAGCCCGTGCTCTACTTCCTGGCGCAGGAGGACTACTTCCTGCCCATCCTCGAGGACTACAGCAACTACGTGCCCCGCGTGGTGGCTGTCATTGGCCCTGACAACTCCGAGTCCACCAAGACGGTGGCCAACTTCCTCTCCCTCTTTCTCCTTCCACAGGTGAGGCTGCTGGACCCTGGGGGAAGGGGCGGGGCAGGGGACAGCAAGGTGGTGACCCAGGAGGCTCAGAACCCTCCCCGACCAGTCCCAGCCTGGGGGAGGCCGCCCAGGCTTTGGAGGCCGATGGGCCTGGGGTGCGTCTTGGCCGAGTCTCAGCTGCTGTGCGGCCTGGGCAGACCCCTGAGCCCTTCTGAGCCTGTTTCCCCGCCTGTAAAGTGAGAGGCCTGTCTGCAGAGTGAAGTCTGACCCGCAAGAGTTTCCAGCGCATAGTAGGTGGTCAGTAATGCTATGGTTATTAAGTAGAGCTCAGGAATGAACGGTCGGAAGGTGCTCTATGTTCTGTGAAAGTGCCCAGCACAAGATCTGCCCCATGGGGGGTCCTCAGGAAAGTGCCATTAGCGTAACCACTGTTAAAACTGTCATCGTCCTCATGATTGAGAGTGCCCAGCCCAGTACTGGTTTAGAGTGTCTACTCATCAGAGAGCAGCTGGCATAAGGCTTGGCGCTCCGTAGGTTGTTACAACAACTGGAATCGTTGCTGTAGTTTTCACCAAGTAGAAGCACCTGACTCAGGGTCTTGACACTTAGTAGGTGCTCAGGAAGTGTTCATGTTTGTATGGGAAGCATCTAGTCCAGGACTGAAGCCAGCCTGTCATTCAGGGAACAGCTATTTCCTGAGCGCCTGCTGCGGCAGGTGCTGGGGATACGGCCGGGAACCAAAGAAGCAAAGGCCACTGTCCTCTTGGGGTCTGTCTCCTAGTGGGAGGGAGACAACAGGTGAAATAATCGGTGCTCCAGAATGTTCCGAGGTGGGTCGCTCAGCAGATAAAGGGCGAAGTTGAGCAGAGGGGCGGGAGGCAGGGGCAGAGGGGGAGACGGGGTGCAGGGAGGGTGCAGGCTTTAACAGGCAGGGGCTCAGGGCACCTGGGAGAAGCACCTTCCAGGAACAAGCAGCTGCCCAGACCCCGAGCCCCCCACGGTGAGGACAGAACTAGGCGACCAGGACCCCGTGGGGGACCAGGAGAAGTCAGGGAGGCAGGGGCTGGGCACACCATGGGCCCCTTGGGGGCCACTGAAGGCCTCTGGCTTTGCCCGAGTGACGCCAGGAGGCTTGAGGGTTTCCGCACCGGGCATCAGCGTGATGGCCTGTGTGTGTGGGGTCGGCCGGGCTGCGCGGGGGAAGGCGGGAGGACCAGGTGGAAATCCAGGCCGGGGATGACGATGGCCCGACTGGGCCTGGGGGTGGTGGGGTGGCAGGTCCCTCGTGGGATTTCAGCGCAGTCAGGGCGCGTGAGGTCTGAGAGGTCGGTTTGAGGTTTTGAGAGGCCTGAGCCTGGTGGATGCCAGGAGTGTTGGCATGGAAACAGTGTTTGCCGCCACCGGGCGGTGTGGGGTCACCCCGGGAAGGATGGCAGATGGAAAAAAACCAGCAACACAAAGGGAACAGAAGGCGCATCAGGGACAAAGCCAAGAGTGAGGGGCAGGAGGTCAGGAGAAGAGAAGGGACCTGCGGATGGGCCTGCTGATGACAGAGGTGCTCAGGGACACACAGTAGGTGCTCAGGAAATGTTGCTGGGTGGTGGGGAGGATAACAATGCCTAGCCAAGTGTTTGCTGCTGACTGTGATGATGATGGTGAGCGTCACCTAGCCGGTGCGGCACACAGTAGGTGCTCAATAAGTGCTATTGCAATGATATCATCACGATGCTGCTGATGTAAAGTATCTAGCTGGTGTGGCACACAGTAGGTGCTCAATAAGTGCTATTGCAATGATATCATCATGATGCTGCTGATGTAAAGTACCTAGCTGGTGCAGCACACAGTAGGTGCTCACGTGTGACTGCAGGACGACCCTGACAGTGCTGATGTGACTGTCCAGCCCTAGAGTGGCTTGCAGCATGTGTTCCCCAAATGTCACCCAGATGATGACGGCACGTGGACCCCCTTCCCCGTGGGCACCTCAGTAATGCCAAGGGCCCCTCTCTCCGGCAGATCACCTACAGCGCCATCTCTGACCAGTTCCGTGACAAGCAGCGCTACCCGGCCATGCTGCGCACGGTGCCCAGCGCCAGCCACCACATCGAAGCCATGGTGCAGCTGATGCTCCACTTTGGCTGGAACTGGATCGTGGTGCTGGTGAGCAACGACGACTACGGCCGGGACAACAGCCAGCGGCTGGGCGACCGGCTGGCAGAGGGCAACGACATCTGCATCGCCTTCCAGGAGGTGCTGCCCATGCCCGAGCCCGACCAGACGCTGACGCCCGACCAGCGGGCGCACCTGAGCCGCATCCTGCTCAAGCTGCAGCAGACCACGGCGCGCGTGGTGGTGGTCTTCTCCCCCGAGCTGGCCCTGCACGTCTTCTTCGACCAGGTGCTGCGCTGGAACATCACCGGCACCGTGTGGATCGCCTCCGAGTCCTGGGCCATCGACCCCGTCCTGTACAACCTCACCGAGCTGCGCCACACGGGCACCTTCCTGGGTATCACCACCCAGAAGGTGCCCATGCTGGGCTTCAGTGAGTTCCGCGTGCGCCGCGCTCAGGACGGACCGCCGCCCCCCAACAGGACCAGCTCGTGGGCCACCTGCAACCAGGAGTGTGACGCCTGCTTGAACATCACCGAGTCCTTCAACACCATCCTCACCAGCTCCGGGGAGCGCGTGGTCTACAGCGTGTACTCGGCCGTCTACGCCGTGGCCCACGCCCTGCACAGCCTCCTGGGCTGCACCCAGACCCACTGTGCCAAGGAGGTGGTCTACCCCTGGCGGGTGAGGCCCGAGGGGCAGGACAGACTCCACTGTGCCACGGGGCGCTGCCTGCTTCAGTGTCCCCTGCAGGGTCTCGGGGGTTGAGGGCCCGGGGAAGGGCTTGTGCTCCCCACCGGCTCCCTGAGGTCTGCATCCTGTTCTGCGTGGCCTCGATTCTGACCTGGAATCTAAGTCTGTGTTTTTCTGCGTTCACACGCACACAGCCCACCAGGAAGCCTTCCGGCCTGAGGAAGGTTTTACCGAGGGTCGGGGAAGCAGAGAGAGGGGAGTCGGAGAGGCACGTGCTGTGCTTTGCTGCTGGACATCTCTGCTCTTCAACAGAGAGGGAGGATGCTAGGACCAGCTGGCTTAGGGATCTTTCACTCTGCAGACCCTGAGATGCAGGGAGCCCTGTATCCCCTGTAGCCCAACAGATCACCCCATCTCTGGAGGAGAAGATCTAGGAGACAGATTGGTAGGCTGTCTCAGCTGCAGGCTGTTTTGGGGTCAGCCCAAAGAGGTTCAGTGACTTGCTCAAAGTCGCACAGAAAATTGAAGACAAGAGGCAGGACTGGAATTCAGGCCAGAGGATGCCCCGTTCAGTACCAGTCTCTGGGGGTGTGTAGGGACCACAACCAGAGCTGACCCCAAGGAGTGGGGAGACAGGGAGGACCCAGGGAGCAGGGCAATCCCCTGCTGGCCTTTGTGGGTGAGAGACACAGTGGGCTCTAGGCCTCTTGAGGATGACCATGGTGACTTACAGGGGAAAGGGACACACGGTCCCGGGGAGGGGAGTCTGTGCTGTTTCTCAGGCACTCTGTATGCCCCTAGTGTAGATTAACTCAGAGCCCAGAAGACATAGGGCCCTGCTGCTCCCACTCTGGAGAAGAGGAGACTGTGTTCCGAGAGGTTAAGTGACAGGTGTGGGGCCTCAGGGCAAGTGGTAGAGCTGCGGTCTGGACCCAGTGCTCCTGATTCCAAGGCCAGAGCCCTCGGACCCCAGAGCCTCCCACATGGCTTCTTTCTGAGGACTTCCTGCCCGGATTTACAGATGTGGAGCCCGCGGTTGTGGGTGGAGCCCGCGGTTGTGGGTGGAGCCCGCGG